CCGACGGGGGTTCACTAGCTCCCGGTCCAGGGCCAGGAAGCGCCTGCAGCGCCCCCACACCCTGAACCAAGAACAGAAAACCCCAAATCGGCCTGCAGCCGCCAGTCGGCTTCGGGACGACCGCGAGCAAGACCGCCGAATTCTGCGGCGGCATGCAACCTGAGGCCTCCACCACGCTCAGGACGCTGCTGAAAACTTCGAGCGCATCGTCGCACAAGAGAACAGCAACGGCAGTGGAAGCCGCCAACCGAGATCGCCGAAGAGCCCTTGTAGGATTTCGACCTGCCCCGAATTGCCTGGGCCGAAAGCCTGGGAAGATGCGGCAGGATTTCGCCGGGGAAAAGGGCCCCTTCCCCTTGGCCATAGAGGGCCGCAAACCTCTGGCCCTCGGCCTTGACAACGGACAGCGGGTCCGAAACGGCGCAGCACTCGGCTGAAATCGCGCTGGAGGCAACCTGGGGCGAGGGGTCGCGCAAGAGCAAGTGCACTCTCCTCGCGCCCGGCGAGATGCCGCAGCGGAGCCGAGCTTTCCAGTCGGCTTTGCTGCGAGCGGCATACTTGCCGCCGGCGGTCTGGACGGCCTCGTGCATCTGAGCGCACAGGTGAGAGAAGGAGAGCGGGTCAGCTGAGCCCCCACCGCCGATGCCGCCTGCTCGAAGAGGGGGGTGTAAGCTTCTCGTGCGTCAAGTATTCCAGGCGGTGGCTGTAGCCGCATGGGCCTGAGCCTCCTCGATGTCGCCGAGACGACATCAACTCGCGACGCATGGATGAAAGCTCGAAGCTGCTGGCCGCGCCAGCGGATAGCACGGCGGCCAGGGCGCCGAACCTGAGAATCTTTGGCAAGGACCGACTTCCAGATCAGCCGAGGACCGAGACCCCGAGCCCCAAACATGGCAGGCGAAGAACCGACCAGAGGGGCCAACTCACGCTCGGCCGTGTCCGCCCCAGACTGGCGAAGCTTCCCAAGAAGACCCCGAGCCCCACTAGCGTTCCCCTCGCCGATGACGGTCTGAGCGTGGCCAGCCAGAGACTGCGCGCCAGACCGCGCCGGAGGGGGCGGCGACGGCCCGAGGGCCCCTTCACCCAGCAGCGGCGAAGGCCGCCAGAACGAAACGGCTTTTGAAACAGCCAGGCGAAGGAACAACTTAATTTCCACAGGCCCCTGGGGGGGGCGGGGGGGCCGTGTCCAACATCGCGTCGATCTGCTAGATGGCCTTGGCCAGCCCGCAGAACACCACGAAGAAATCGAACGTTGCGGGGTAGCCCGCAGGATAGCGCGGGCTGGCCCTAGGCGCCACGAGCACACCGCGGAGCTCGCCGCAAGCTGGGAGCCTTGCAGCTCGCATGGCCCCATGTTGAAATCGGCAACTAGGATCCACGACAGAACAGAAGCAGAGAGGACCGATCCGATTTCAGCGAGCAGCTGCATATTTCTGTTAGACATACCTTCAGAGTGATGAAGGCACGCGGACGGGACAAAGAAAGAAGGAGCCCCAGGGAGCTCAACCGAACGCGCCAGGCCCCTGCCCTGACAAACGTTGCCGCGGGCGTCTCTGGCTTCGATCTGGGGGCGGAGAGTGCCCCAGGACTCGGCAGTGAATGTCTGAACCTTTCAGATCAATCGAATCATTCTGCTTCGAGCTACCGCGCTGCTGATCAGCGCAGGGCGCATGCAAGTCAGGCGACTGCTCGCCAGCGTCGCCCGGGCGCCTTGGGGCCAAAGGCCGAGCGGGTCGAGCAACAGACAACGATGCCGAGTACCCGGATCAACGAACGGTTCAGGGTCCCCGAGGCACCCGCCCCCAGACGCGCAGGCCTCCCATATCTTACAGGCCGACGGGGCAAGCAACGGGAGCCTGACCAAGGCGGTGCGACCAGGAGCCTCTTTGCCCAGTGGGCTCACTGGATGCGCGAGCGAAGGCCTGGAAAAGTCGAAGGGGGCCTGCCGTCTAAAACAAGCATCGCCCGGTCTGGCGGCAGCCGGCAGACCAGATGCAGCATCGGCACGCGCCAGCAGAGAGGACCATCCATCAGCGAGATGGGCCCCCCTGCTGCAGAGGATCTGGCATGGACGCAAACAGGAAAGGTATCCCCATCTTGCGCCAGAGGGCTTGTCGAACCGCGTCAGCGGAGCAACGCATCTTGGTGCCAGAAGTTACACAAAGTTCCTATACCCCCTGCGTGGATTTTGCCAAAAATGCCAGGCTGGCCGCGCGGATGCACCGCAGAGCCCGTGGGGCCAGGGAAGCGCGCCCAGGGCCCATCGAACGCTGGCCAACGCGATCGCTCACGCAGGTGTGTGTGTGTGTGTGTGGGGGGGGGGGGGTCAGAGGGCTTGACTAGACCAGCGATGCGATCAGCTCGAGACCGAATGGAATCCGATGGTGTGGTCGCAGAAGCCCCTGTGGACGGCGCCGCTGCAGCCGCTGCCGCGGTGCCAGCGCCTACTTCACTTTCAGCGTCTGCCTCTGCACTGCCAGGGGCGTCTCCTGCCGAAGCCCCGCCTGGGGCACCTGCCTCTGCACCTTCATGAATACAGCTTGTGTTTTTTTTTTGGGGGGGGGACCGGATTAGATCAGCATGTGCAGCGTGCTCAGCCTCGACAGCGTCCATCTTGTCTTTTGCCTGAAAGGCGAGATCCTTCGCCAGTGTGCCGAAACCGCTCTTGAGCTGCTCGGTGCTGGATTTCAGGGCTGTCTGGCCCTCTGGACCCAAGTCAGCGTCGCCCAGCTTGAACACATCGTCGAAGTCGATGTCGCAGAAGGACGCGAGCTTGGACTCATCAAAGAAAACCTCTGCAGGAAACTGTGCAGCACGCTCGGGCTCTCGAGGCAACGTGTCGTGCAGCTGGTGAACCCGCCGCTTGTGCTGCTCCTCAACCTCGATGAATCCCGACCGAAGCTGCACCGCAAAGTCGCGTTGAGAGTCGAGCTGCTTCCCGAAGGATTCGTACTTGCCAACTACCTGCTCCAGCCTGCGTTCAATAACTTTGGCACGTTGGTGAGCCTTGCTGAGCTGGACCTGGGTCGATCCTGGGACGGACTTGGGCTCCGTGAGCGCCTTGGCCGCGACCCGATGGGCTGCAGCACCGTCCTTGTCGCCCAGCTTCTCGCGCAGATTGACCAGCTGCTCGTACTCTTCTGCCGACAGCGGAGGAGGAGAGGCAGGTTTGGAGTGCCCCTTGCATCCCTTGCCTTCGCCTTTGCCGCCGCCTGCAGCGCCACCAGCGAGCCCCTCAGAGCCGGCCAGTAAGGCGCCTGCACTTGGCGGTCCTGCGGCCCACGTGGAGTTCGGGTCGACCATGCTCTGCTGGCTGACTTGAGAGCGCCACAGTGCTTGCTGAAGTAGTGCCGCGATTCATTCTTTGCACAATCGCAAAATGTACACTTCCAGCGTTGTCCCTTGGCAAACGGACGGCGAACACCATCACCAGCATGAGGAGGAACTGCCACTTGAAGTCCAGGAAGGAGGGGCGGCCACGAATGTTCATATTGCACCTGGGGCCTGCCGTGGGAGTGATGCGACCTGCCACCAGACGCCAGCTGAGAGCCGCTCCACCTGCGATGCTAAAGGGCCCAGGTGAACCTGCTCTTTCCGCCGCCGCCGCCGCCTGAGCCGCCAGCCGTTGCCGACGTTTGGACGTGGTGGCGAGCGACTCCCTGAGGAGATGGATGAGGGAGCGCCCTCAACGAAAGCACCGAGCCAAAGGCCCGCAACAACACTAGGCCGTTCTGAAGGCATGCTGCTGCAAGCCGAGGCTATAAAAGCCTGAGCCAGAACGGCTAAATGGAGGAGGAGGAGGAGGAGGACAGGAGGAGGAGGAGGCTGAGGAGTGGAAGGAGGAGGAGGAGGAGGAGGAGGAGGAGGAGGAGGAGGGGGAGGAGGGGGAGGAGGAGGAGGAGGAGGAGGAGGGGAGGAGGAGGAGAGGAGGACGAGGAGGAGGAGGAGGAGGAAGAGAAGGAGGAGGAGGAGGAGGAGGAGGAGGAGGAGAGGAGGAGGAGAAGGGGGGAGGAGAGGAGGAGAAGGAGGAGGAAAGGGAGGAGGAGGAGTAGGAGGAGGAGCAAAGGGGCGGAACATAAAGGTAAAAGCGCTGCGGTGATGGGTTCCAATCAGCAGCAGCGACGGCTACGGGAGAAGGAGGAGGAGGAGAAACAAAGGGAGGAGGAGGAGGAGGAGGAGGAGGAAGAGGAAAGGGAGGAGGAGGCGGAGGAGGAGGAGGGAGGAGGAGGAGGAGGAGGAGGAGGAGAGGAGGAGGGGGAGGGACGTAGGAGGAGGACGAGGACGAGGACGAGGACGAGGACGAGGAGGGCCAGGAGGCGAACGAGGAGAGGGGGGAGGTCGAGCGAGGGGGGAGGAGAGCGAGGGGAGGCGAAGAGGCAGTAAGGGGGAGGCAAGAGGAAGGGAGGCGGTACAGAAAAGATGAAGAGGCTCAGGGGAAGAGCAGCGACGAGAAGGACGAGGAGGACATGGATTGGGAAGGAGGAGGGGGAGGAGGAGGAGGAGGAGGAGGAGGGAGGAGGTGGGAGGGGAGGAGGAGGAGATAGAGGAGGAGGACCAGGAGGAGGACGAGGAGGAGGAGGAGGAGAAGGAGGCAGAGGGATGAGGAGGCGGAGAGGAGGACGAGGAGAGGAAAGGATGGAGCAGGAGGAGGAGGAGTAGGAGGAGGAGGAGGAGGAGGGAGGAGGAGGAGGAGGAGGGAGGAGGGAGGAAGAGAAGGCGAGAGCAGTGAAGAGGAGGAGGAGGAGGAAGAGAGGAGGATAGTTGAGGATATAGGAGGCGAAGGGAGAGAGAGGGAGGAGGGAGGAGGAGGAGGAGGAGAGGAGGAGGAGGAGGAGGAGAGGAGGAGGAGGAGAAGGAGCAGGAGGAGCAGGAGGAGGGAGGCAGGAGGAGGAGAGGCAGGAGGGAGGAGGTCTGGAGGGCGCGGCAGGAGGGGAGGCCCGGCCCCAGGGGTGAGCGCGCCCGCGGGGGGCGGCGGACGGGCCGCGGCCGCGGCGGGGCTCCTCCCGGGTGGCCTTCCCGGCCTGGTGGAGGTCGATGGCCTCGGGGAGGGCACCGAGGGAGGGAGAGGGCGAGGGCGAGGGCGAGGAGAAAGGAGGAGGAGGAGGAGGGAAGGAGGGGGAGGAAGAGGAGCAGGATGGGGGAGGGGGGGAGGGAGGAGGGGGGCGGGAGGAGAGAGGAGGGAGGAGGGAGGAGAGAGA